GTGGTCATGAATTTCTTCAGGTGTTCTTTGTCATCAAGTATCTTATTTCTCTATCAATTTTTTTGAAGGGCATGATCATTTATTTTTTTTAAAAACCACACTGATTATAATGACCAGTATACACATGATAATGGTTTTCTCTGGGATATCACTGTGGTATTTTGTGTATATTAAAATAGTTCAACAGGACTAAGAAAGTTGGAGAACAAAGATCTTAAATGAAAATAGATTTCTCATATTTCTGTTGTTTTAACCCACAGAATTATTTTAAACCCCCTATGAATCAGTAGCATAATGTTAATCAGTTGTGAAGAACATACATTCTCTTAGAAGTAGGATGAACTTCTTTATATTTTAATCTGTAGTTTTTATAATTTAAGTATGACCACCCTGGCTAAAGGAGAATCATAGAAGACATCTCTAATAACTTCCATGCTACTGTTGCACAAGTTTAGTGAGTTTTTTAAAAAATCAAAGAGGCAAATAAATGTGACTTTAAAATCATTAGAAAAACATAGTACTTATTTGTCCAATAGACTCAAACTTAAATTCTATAATTATGGCCTCCAAACTTTTGCAATAAAATTAATATTTCATATATATATAGGATTTGTTTATAAATAGTACTTTGCAATCAACAAGAGAAAGCCACACACTTGGACTCTCTCAAGCGGTAACAATGGAAGAAACAAAGCAAATAAATGAGGCTCTAGAAAAAAATCAAATCAGAAATAAGTTTTCACATTACTTCAGAAATGATGACCATAATGAAGGGTATGATTAGTGAAAGTAGAGAACATACAGCCTTTCATTATTCACTATTTTCATTATTCACTATTTCATTATTTAAAATAATTCTGTGGGTTAAAACAACAGAAATATGAGAAATCTATTTTCATTATTCACTATTTCATTATTCACTATTTTTTAGTGAATAATGTATTTGGAGGTATTCAACATATCCTTGGCAGAGACAAAGCCACATCATGTTAAATCTGGCCCTATGTACCCAAGGTACCACATTCTTTATTAATTTTGAAAGATAGTTTTGCAGGGTATGTCAGTCTGGGTTGGAGGTTATTTTCTTTTAGGGCTTGAAATACTTCACTCCAAGCTCTCATTGGCTTTGCTTTATAAGTGATTTGTTTCTTTTCTGTAACAGCTTTTAATATTTTGTTCTTATGTTGAATTTCTGAAATCCTGATTATTATATGTGTTGGTGTAGATTTTTTTTGATCATGGCTAATTGGAGTTGTATATGTCTCACTTTATCTGTATGTCAAATTCTTTTTCCATGCTGGGGAAGTTTTCTGCCATTACTTCTGTGAACAGGTTTTTTTTTTTTATGTCATTTGTGCTGTCTTCTGCTTTTCACTGACTCTGATCAATCTTATGTTATTCTTCTTTGCATCATCTACCAGCTGTTGGATTGCTTTTTTGTGGTCCCTTGGTATTTTTAAGAAATCTTTCCTTTGTTAACCACAATCCTGTCTTCTAGATCTGATATTCCGTCTTCACATTGGTTCATTCTACTGTGTACACTTTCAATAGAATTTTTTAATCTCCTGCATATCTGATTGAATATTTTTCATGGATTCTGTTGTTTTCCTATGTTGGGCATTCATGATTTCCATCATTTTCCTAAGCTCCACTTTTTAAAAATCTGTATCTTCTCTAGTTTCACTAATCATATCCTTCATTATGGACATCATTTCTGAAGTAATGTGAAAACTTATTTCTGATTTGATTTTTTTTCTACAGCCTCATTTATTTGCTTTGTTTCTTCCATTGTTACCACTTGAGAGAGTCCAGGTGTGTGGCTTTTGGACTGTTCCACCTCATTGCCCCTTGGGTTTGCTTTTGATCTGAAAGTCTGGGATTGTATCTTGCTTCTGTGTCTTCTCATTTTCTATTTTTTTTTTTTTGTTTAATTCCTGGGTTGATGTTTGTAAATTGTTTATGGTTGATATCTGTATTGCTAGTATCAAGAACCCTTATGAAATGTCTCCTCAGAGATGTCTTCTAGATTTAGTTACCTTGTGGATTTTGAGTCTGTTGCAAGGTCCTACCTCTTCAATTTATTGGGGATGAGAAACTGCTGCCTACTTGGCCCAGCCCCTGGTTCTTTGGCAGTAGGTAATAGTATTGTTTATGACCCTCAGGCAATCTCAGTTATAGGATACAAGGAAGAATAACTGATTTGAACAGTTATGTCACTTTGGCTAAAGTTGTACAATCAGTAATAACAATATCATTAAACACCCCCTAGGAAATGACAAGCTGTGTTAACTATTAATATACCACCTTTAACCACCTTTAAACAGGATTTGCAGTTATATAATGAAATCTAAAACAAACCAAAAAATTCTGTACAGTAAATATCCCCTGAATATGATGATGTTACCCTCAGGGGAGAAAATTTAAAAGGGGCTAAGGGGAAAATTAGAGAATTAAAAAAAGAGAAAGGATTAGAAAAGGCTGAAGGACAGAGGAAGATTACCCAAGCTTTGGGAACTGGTAAAACAGACAGGAGAGAAAGAAAGAAAGAACAGAAGCAAGAATAGACCAACAAAAAAAAAAATTAGAAACAATGTTCTCACTCATAAAAAGGAGAACAATCGATCAAGAAAAATAGAGAAAAAAGAATTAAAGGAGAAAAACAGAAAACATCCCTACTTCAGGGTGTGTCTCTGCTGTCACTGATTGACGGGAGGGCCGGGAAAGTCCAGCTCCATCCACGTAGACTGCTCCCTGTATTCCAGCAGTAGAATTATGGCAGTGGTAGATAATCCCAGCAAACCTGAGCCTTTAGTTCCACTGAACTTCAGGCTGATTCTGGTTTCTGGCTGTGAGGCTCAGACCAGATTTTTTTCGGCCTGTGACACTCTGAGTGACTCCTGCCAGCTTGACCTTGGCTCCCTGACTTCCTGCTGGCTTGAACTCAGTTGCACCTCACCGTGAACGTGGAGCTGCTAGATGGAGCCAACCTGCAGATGTTCTGAGTACTACTTCAGTTGGTCCTCTTCCAAAATGGCTACCAGCCAGTTGTCCTGTCCTGGAGGGGCATCTGAACCCAAATAACTCATCAGCCACTGCAGTCTGCAGCATCCACTGGTCCATTCCACTGGTGTCTGGTGCATTTCTCAGTAGAGGCCTCTGGGGTCACCAGTAGTCGCTGCCCCTGCAGGTTCAAGCTACCCCTCTCACACTGCGGGCAGCAACTCAGGGAGAAAACACCTCTTGCACCCTCCCTCTTCTACACTGTGGGCCTTATCTTTACTCTCCCTGTGGGCTCCGATTCTCACTTCAGATCCTTGCTGGGTCCTGGGGCCCCCTTTCCATCCTCATTCTCTTCCTCATGTTGCCATATACCAGTGTCTGGATTCCAAATACCAGAGAGGCTGCTTCTCTTGTGCTCACTATTCCACCACCTTTCCTGCAGTCCCTAACGTTTTGAAAAGTGTTTCTTTAATTAAAATGTGAAAATTTGCTTCCCTGAAATCTATGAAAGCAGATATTTACTTCCATTTAAAAAAATTAGCAAGAACATTTCTCATGAGATTGGCTTTTTATCAGATTTTAAGTGTACAATATAGTGTTGCTCTCTATAGTCACAATATTGTACAGCAGCTCTCTAGAACTTAATCAGGTAACTGAAATTTTATACCCATTGATTAGCAACTTTCTGTTTTTCTCCTCCTTAGCCCTTAGTAACTACAATTCTATTCTTGTCTTTGACTGTTTTTATATATCATATATAAGTGGAAGTATGCAGTATTTGTCCTTCTGTGACTAGCATATTTCACTTACCATAATATCCTCTGGACTCGTCCTTGTTATCACATAATGCAGGATTTCCTTCCTTTTAATAGACTAATTAATATTCCATTATATATATGTCTGACACTTTTTATCCATTGTGTTTTGATGAACAGTCTGGTTGTTTCCATATATTGTCTACTGTGAATAGTGCTGCCGCAAATCTGGAAGTGGTAATGTCTCGTTGAGATCCTGATTTTAAGAAATGGGATTGCTGTATCCTGTGGCTTTACCTTTTCATAGAGTGTTAATAAAGACTGTTGAGAAGAATCTGCCTACATCTTTGCTGTTCCTTCCTCTGCACTTACCTATAAACACCATCCATATCCTTACCTTTCATCTCTTTGGTAAAGGTTCCTTTTCACTAGACTAATACTTTCACTTCTGATTTGCGTTCTGTTTCCTTCTGCTTTCATAGGTTCTGTTCTTTGTAAATTTTATACTCAACATTTTTCAGAGAAGCTCCATTAATTACTTCTTCTCTTCCTTCTCCTTCTCTTTCTCCTCCTCCTCCTCCTTCTCCTTCTCCTTCTCCTTCTCCTTCTCCTTCTCCTTCTCCTTCTCCTTCTGCTCCTCCTCTTCCTTCTTTTTCTTTTTCCTTTCAGATCACTGAAATCTGGATTCTACCTCCAGTACTGCACTAAATCCATTATTAAAGTCACTGTACTCAGTTTTTCTTTTGCACTTAACATTTTCATCTATTGCATCTGAAAACAAAACGTACTATTCAGTGAACTAAACCAAATTCAGTTCAACAGACATTTTTGGGAGAATTTATTCTAAAGTAGCACTAGAAAGAGAAGAATGAAAAACCCTGCCCTCCAGAAACTGACGGTTTAGTGAAGGATGTGGACAATGCAAACAGCCACAATACCAAGAGACGTGGCAGAGATGCACGCTGAATGGTACGGGAGTGCAGAGGAAGGATTAATATTCCTAGGGAAACTTGTGACTACCTCACCCCGTATGATCTTTGTGTTACTTTTTTGACAGTTTCTCATTGGCTCCAAATTTACCTAAGTAAATAATGAGAAGAGAGTTTAAAGTAGGGAATCTGGGAAACAGAAATTGACTCTCCTTTCTCCTTTTAATGATTATCATTTTTTTCTTAAGGAAGGGTAGGGGAGAATAAGGATACTTATTCATTTGAATTGATTAAATGTTTTATTACATATGTGCAGCACTTCATAGAGCCTGTATAATTTTTAGCAAAATTCGAAATGGTAAGATTTATGTGAACGATCTGCCACTGGTCTTTGCTACCTTGAAGATTTCTATAAGTGATTCAGACATGCTACAGGCACTAAAGATTGTTGATATTGATGGTAAGTTTTTGAATATTAGTTTAAGGATCCTGGGAACAGTTTAATTACAAGTGATAGGAAACAAGCTTTAAAATATGTTATAAAACAGTATTTTCGACATAAATGTTATAAGTCATTTTATATGCTATAAAATATTTGCAATAATATTAAAAAATTGGTCCTCAGATACACATAATTGGATTATTAGATTGAATTATGGTATATTCTCACTATTGGTCAATGCCTAACCTACTTTTATTTAATCATGCAATGTTATTTTAATAACAGTAAATATCTGGCCCAGTTACCTAAAATTAAAACTAAGACTGTGACCAGCCATGGGGGTACATGCATGTAACCCAGAACTTGGGAGGCTGAGGCAAGAGGATCGCCATGAGTTTGACGCCAGTGTGGGCTGCATAATGAGACCTTGTTTCAAAAAAACAAAAGCCAAAACAAAGCAAATTAGGACTTTGAGAATAACTTGCTTGTATCTGTAAAGTTCACTGAACAGCTCATTTTTCTGTTTCCCCACCCTGAGGTAAGCATTCATATTTCCTTTTGTCTCTCTCCTCTCAGTAATTACATAATATATATATTTAGGGGCTGGAGATTTAGCTCAGTGGCACAGCACCTGCCTGGCAAGTGCAAGGTCGTGAGTTTGATACCCGGTACTGGAAAAAAAAAACCAAAAACCCAACATATATATTTAAAACCTTTAGTTGTCTTTTTGTTTTTAAAACCTCTGTAAATGTTTATCATGATTTATATAATCACTTGGAGTATTTCAAATAATATTAAGATGTATTAATATTGCTAGTTGCTGCTTTTAGTTTGCTTATTTGTACAGTATTATCTTATGTGAATATATCATGTTTTATATGTCCACACTCTCACTGATGAACACTGGGATTCTTTCTAGGGTTTAGCTACTGTGAGCTATGACCTGTTTTATGATGTAATATGTATGAGAGTTTTCCTTGGGTACATACCTATGAGTACAGTTCCTGAGTTATTACATGAGTTTATTCTATACTGTCATCTGAAGAGGTTGTACATTCACCAGTAACACACTTAAATCGGGTATTCTGTAGATCCACTTTGTTTTCAAAATTTGGTAGTTTAAGACTTTTAACTTTTGTTACTTATATGAAGTCATTTTATAGGCTAGGGAAGCATTTATATATTTGATATATTAAAATTAAAATATTTTATTTTAAACTGTCAAAGGACAGTTTAAATTGAAAAGTTAAAAACTTGGAGAGATTTGTAATACACAGAGAACTTGTACAAATGAATAACGAAGAAGTAGAAAAATGCTCAAGATACATGGTCAGGTATTTCACATAAAAATAAGACAGATGACCAATAGTTATATAGAAAGATACTCAGCATCACTATTGATAAAGAAATGCAAATTGAGATCCTAATAATAACATCTCAGACACCTAGAAAAATGATTCTTTTGCAGTCAAAACTTTAATTTGAAGAGGTATGTAATAGAGAATTGATTACATTTACAGACCATTCCAAGCGTGCTAAGGAGAGACAAGTTTAGAATAAAAATGATACCAGTAAGTTGAAGCAGTGGTCAAAACTAAAACACTTAGTACACCTTTAAGGTTGAAAGCACTGAGCTGCTCAAATATAAGATGTGGATTTATTATCCTAAAAAATTATAACTGGAAAATATTGGAAGTCAAATATTACTAAACAACATAGTAGTTGCATAGTTGCCCATGCTTTCATTGACGTTGCATTAATATGCGTTTATTCATCCATGCATTTGCTTTCACTGACTGTTTGCCTTAGCATGCATTTATTTATCTGCATCTCTCTAAAGCAACCCCAATTTTTTTTCAGCCCTACAGTGACTAGAAGTGTCCTTCAAAAGTAGAAATCGTGTCCCACCATTATATTTTACAGAGAAGTGTTTTTGTTTTACTCTAGTGTTTTTTAGCTTTTACTTTAGTATTTTTAGTTTATAAATTACCAAATGAAAATTATATCTTCACCCCCATCTTTCCCTGAAATCTTCAGTGGTAAATTATTAATAATTTGTGGACATCTTTCTGGCCTTTCTTTTATAAGGGCATGCACACATAATGATTTCAATCAGTCTAATGATTAAATGGGGAGGTCACATGTAAATTTTTTGCAGTTACTAATAGCACCCAAAGAACAACCCTGTATATCAGTTCTTTTACAATTGTGAACATATGTCTAAAGGACAGATTTTAGAAATGAAAAATCTGGGGTAAAGAACATGACATGTATATTCCAGAATTGCCCCATTCCCCACCTTCTCCCCATCCCTACAAAGATTTTTCCAAGGTATAGCCCACCACAATTACCACAAATGCCCTTTAAAAGAAGATACTCTAAACTCTACTTGCATCGACAATAAGTTGTTACCTTTAAAAATCCCATGGATGATTTTCATGTGGTCGACGATGTGGCCCTCCTAATAAGATTTTAAAATTTGATTAACTTGGGCAGGGTAGGTAGCTCAACAGCACCGCACCTGCTGGCAAGCAAGAGGCTCTGAGTTTGATTCCCGGTACAAAATTTTTTTTTTATTAACCCGTAATTTTGAAAATTGGCTGTGGAGAGAGTTAATGTCAAATTATGTTACTAAGGTGTTACCTTACCGGAAACAAGTATACAGTATGATAAATTACTAATTTTAATAGGATCAGGTAATGTAGATATCTTTACATCAGTATTTTATATCTGCTTGTACAGTTTGTTATCAATAAGAATGAAGCATACCATGCCACTATGATTATAGATATTTATCTTTTTTTACATGAGTGCTGCCTAAGTTGAAAAGTGTCAGAATAAGTACACCAAAGCCAGTTGAATCTTTTGGTTTTACTTTCGTCTCTGAATATAATGCGATGAACACGCTAGAGTGCTTTATCGTTATTGTTAAGCCTTTTCTTGCCAATGGAAGTATGAAACTAAAGAAGATTCTTTTTATCTGTTTTGAAAAAGACATCATAATGCGTGGATATTTTGTGAGAAGCAGCCTTGATTTTTAATGGCATCAAAATTTCTAGGGCCGGGGATGTAGCTCAGCAGCACAGCTTCTGCCTGGCAAGTGCAAGGTCCCGAGTTCGAATTTTGGTACAAAACAAAAAAAGAAAAACGTTCTAGACTTCAGTTTTCTTAAACACACACCCCGTCTTTAAACGTTCTATAGAGATGCTAATCAAGCACACAAGTCATGTATCATCGAGAGACCTTGTTCATGGGCCTTTCCACATTTGTTGAATGACTCTGGCTCGGAGAAAAAGAAAGAAAATTGAAGCCAAGTTTCTGTGAAATACTTTAACCCATTCCAGAAATTTTGATATTTTGAAAGACTTTTAGAGGAGATCTTAGAAAAATGAGTAGCTCTGCTGTTTCCTTAAGCGTGTAATTAGAAGAAACTATTGATGCCTACTAGTTCAGCCTGCTTTTTTGACTACTGTGCTGTTATGAATGTATTGATGCTATAAATGAGAATGCTTGTATACAAAGTGTTCTACCGGCCTCTCACCTCTTCAGAGC